TATATTTGCTTGTTTATAAATACATGCTATGATGCATTTGTTTACATACACGGTGTTATTTCGTAGCCGTCGTGACAAAACATAAGGTAAATATTAAAATAAGATACAAAATATCAATTAGTTTTTAATTATTGTATAGCCATTATGATATTGAAATTCGTTTCACCGATTGTCGAACTAGCTTTGTAAATTTGAAATTTGAAATATTGTCAGCCGTTTTTATGTGATGACGTAAGAAAGTTTGCATTGAAGTCGATTCTAAAGAACTTCACTTTACTTAGATAATTTATTTTATAGTACCCATGTAGTGGCTTTAAAATATAATCTTAAAAAAATTCCTGAAGGGAATTGTATGGGCCTTATACCTGGTTTTTTGGTGATTTTTACCCAACTTCTTTTACAATTTTCCAATGGCCTGACTTTATCGATGGTAACTAATTTTTAAATATACATCCGGTTGTACAGTAAACACAATTGGCAAAAATATTCATGCATTTTAAATCCTTATTCACCTTCTCACTCACGGATATCATAAGAACTGCATATGAACCTAGTTAAAAGTTGAACTTGAGTTCTCAGTCTGCAATAAGACGTGATTTAGAGCGATTTTAAACCGTACGTTAACTCTTATGTACACAAATCACATGCACTATAAAAATGTATTTCAGGGCATTTTCGTTTGATTTTCTGGTAGTTTCACAAGTTTAATAACTGGTGGTTGGATTACAGGGCTTCTATCCTTGAGATCCGGGTTCAAATTGCGCCAATCACCATCGACTTTTGCTATTTTTTATAATGAACGTAATCAAAGCGTTTGAGCCCGAAGTGTTCAAATAAAAACGATTCACCAGTGCAATATTTATGAGGAATAGAATAAATTATGTGTTTTGAGTAACCTACTGCTGATAAATAGTTATCTACTAATAATTGGATATGAAATATACTTTCAGTGGAGTTTTGTTTCCAATAAAAGCTGTCTTTTTACACCTTCCACCCTTTGGCTTTGGCTAGATCGTTTACTTTATTGGATTATTCTAGACTAAGGAAACTCCAAGCTTTGGCGGGTGTTAAACAATAAGATATCATAGCTTGTAGCTATCAAGAATTAATATTTCAGTGAATATTTTTATAAAACTGCTACAGTAACTCCAAGGTGTATTGTACCTAAATATTGTTATATTAAATTAATATACACTTATATCATAGTAGAAAGTATCGGTTTAATTTATCCGTTCAGAATCATTCATAAGTATTTATAAATTAATGTTAACAAGAAGAATGCGATGTTCTATCTACGTCAATAAAAAGATAAAATATACAAAGTAGCAGTATTCAACTGAAAGTTTTAGTGGTATCAAGTGTTATTCTCGTCTAAACTGTAATTTGTCAATTTGCATGGATTAAACATTCCCTTAAAATCCTAGAGAATATGTAAAAAAAAATTAATTGTCTAGATACGTGGTAACATTGTATACGTACTGCCACAGTGTGTTATAAATTATCTTTCTGATCAGATCAACAAGGGAAACTTAGAACCAAGATTTTAAAGGTAATAGCTTAATCATACTTAGCTAAACTGCATGAGAATGCATCTCATTTTACGAGTCCAATATATTAATATTTAAACGCTTTTATATATTTTGTGACACTTTTTCTTGAGTCAACAAAAGTTGACCGATCAGTTTAAGTGGAGATGGCAATGAAATTTAGTCAAAATCATATCGATTAGTCTAAAAATGCGATACAAATTCCTACAATTTAAATTTGAATTAATTGCAATTCGTAAAAAATTCGTTCAGGGAAGGGAATGCGGAAAATATGCGATTGGAAAAATGGTTGCTTGATTTTATTCCAACACAAATTGGCAATAAAAATAAGATCTCTTTTAACTCAGCCGTGCAACCTGTAATCGGCAATTTCGGAAGCCTCTGCAATCGCGCTATCATCAGTATTTCTTCCAAAGAATCTTTTACGACTTTCTTTTGTTGCAAAGAGGAGTTAAGTTCAAATAGTAATCGATCCATTAGGTATATGTTAAAAACGAAAAATGTTGAATGTTTAATTTTGCCATTCATAATAACTGTCCCAAAACAAACTAATGAAATTAAAATACTTCACAATCTATCTAATTTATCTAATCGTTGTTGTTATTGCCTGATGTAAAGTTACCGTCATTACTGCTTGTTACTTGTTACCATTATTACTAGGCATAGTCTTCTTGTTGTTATTTATTGTAGTTTTCAGGTCCCACTCATGTATTTATTGCCAGCTTCCTTATTTATTATTATTGCACGATTTGTGTAACCACTGATATTAACTTATTATTTGCTACTTATGTATTATGTATTCAGGTATAGTTCAACTATAGTTCATAGTTTGACAAAATTGTATTAATGGAGAAACCGTTGGAATAAATAAATAAATAAATAAATAAATAAACAATATTACGAAATACCCTCAACATGTACTAAACTAGTGCTAAAGCCCCACCTTAAACCCCACTAATGGCTTTTACCCATGTTTTAATGCAATTATTCGATCATTTTGAGTTGTAATTAAGTTGCTCTATGAATCAGCCAATGAATCTACTTATGAACTAATGTATGACCTAATGAACCCATACCATTTAAATGTTTAGCATAATATATTTTTTATTTGGTTTAAAAACTTACCTTTGTTATCAATTGTTGTGTAAAGTGCTTCTATATCGGTGGTTACAGACTTCACAGTTAAATGAATCTTTTGGTCATTACAAATATATATAAAAAAACTACTACATAACTTATATTCAAACTAGTCGGCTTTTGGAGAATCATAAAGTTAACCTTGAAGCGTTATTACTATTCTTAATTGAGATAAGGTGCTAGTGAGAGTACTTTAAGCAATAAATGAGATAAAGACGAGCTCAGAATGAAGTGAGTGAGATAAGTTGTATAGCAGCTGTCTTTTCTTAACTAAGAACTCTTCTTTGGATAGAACCATTTATCAAAAGCCTAAAGATCAAGGACAACTAGGTCCACTTTCCAACAATCAAAAAGACATTGAATTTTTTCAGGATTTAACTGGTGACAATTTTTCAACGAATTTACTATACAGTAATCGCAACGAGAAATATGTTTATATACTACTCATACATACATAACAAATGAAAATGATGAACTTACCTTGAGGAACCTGGGAAACCTGAGGATGGGGTTGACACCAATATTAAACTGGATGAGGTCTAGAGGCAGAAGAGCAATTAGGTCCAACAGGAAGGCTCTGGACTTGATGTAGTGACCGGCAAGTTTCTTGGAGTCGTACACCATGAGTCCCTGCTCCAGGTACCCGGTCCGAAACTGCACAACCACGTCTAGCACGAACACCACGTCCGTGAACATGTCACAAGCGAACCAGAACCTCGTGGCGGAGTCTTGCAGTTCGGGGAAGCTCTGACGAACTATCAGAGTCCATAGGTTATACAGCACACAGATGGCCACCAACATGAGCCAGTAGAAGTAGAAATTCTCGTCCGGATTGACCACGGTGCGCGGATGTCTCTTGGCCCTTCGCCTCCGCTTGCGCCGTTGACGCTGATCTTCCGTGATTCCACTTTGGGAACCAGAGGCTTCGCCGTCGTCCCCCGTGTCCATCGTCTCCTGGAACACGATAGGAATTAGAGAATTGTGAAAGTATACACTCTAGTACGTATATATAGGAAGTAGATATAGAGGGATGGTTATAGATTTGAGGTAGAGATTATGCGTTAGGAAGCAGATGTAGGAAGTAGAAGTGAAACATCAAAAGGCATGTACCCTTTTGAAATACAGTATTATGGATGTAACATACTCTATTGGCTGATTATCCTTTTGGATCAGCTCAAGACGATTTGAAAGTTAGTATGTTTGTGTCTAGTTACGATTTATTACTTTGAAATAATATTTTTATTTATAGGTAATGGTACTGGCGTTACACAATTACAACCAGACATAAAGATATAATTATAATGAGAATCATCACCAAAGGGTAAACTACAAAACGTAGAATCTCCCCAAAATTTAAATAAAACATTCTTGACAGTATGTCTCTCGGACATCATAACACGAAACATCTACACAATAACCCCGCCGCAGCCAACCTGTAGACTAAGGTGATTTCCATTTGTCTCAGATTTAAACCAAAATGTTTCCTTAATCATGTCAGTTTCATTCCGTTTTTAAATGACGTTAGCTATAACAAGTACTTGGTTTGCTACTACAAGGAAGGTAATGATGTGTGTTTTAGTGAATTGGAGCTTTGTATTAAATAAACAACATTTGCCATACAGTATTTAGTAAAAATATATAACCAAACAAGCAAAATATAACATTAAATTTATCCTCGATTACAATAAAATAGGAATACAAATTAACATGATTTCAAATTTTCTCCGTTACCATTAAGCGTACATCAACCCTTGAGAGTAATAAATTATTGTGTTTTAACATATACAAAATGTTTTAGAAATTAATTGCAAAGTTTTAATTCTAGGTTCAAAAATGGTATAATCAATTTTTACCCCTAAAAACCCCATTTCCATAGTCCAATCATGCTGGGTTACAAACTAGGTTAAAACAAAGTGGGTTTATAACGTTTGTACCAAGTTTCATTAAGTTCGGATCATTTTACTCATGTTATCGTGCTATTACTTTTCTTTTTCTAATAATGACAATTATAGTAAACAAAATACAGGGTTATTCAAAATGAATGACCCAGTTTTAACGCTTTATAACTTTTAAACTATTAAACTTACCGCTATAAAATACACATCAAACGAAAAAGCAACTCAAAGAGTTTACTCCTTCCAAAGACACATCATTTAACAAAATCGATCCAATGGATCTGTAGATTTAATTGTACAAAGTTAAAAAGTAATCTCCAACTTTTTTTACCACTAGAAATTTGGAGGTTACTTGACTTTTTTGCAAATAACTTTTAAATGGTGAGGAAATTGACCAAAGTGGAAGGTAATATTCCGAAAGAGAATACAATTCCCTACAATCTACTATTATGCATTTTTTGAAAATACTCAAGAAAGGTACCAAAAATTGCCTCAAAAAGAAAAAGAAAATTGAAAATCCCTGTCTTCAATGAGACAATAAACATAGCAAACATTAAATTTCACACTTTTTTATTTTAAGCCAAATTTAGGCTACATTTATTGAGTATTTTCAAGATATGCGTATAGTAGATTGTAGGAAATTTTATTCTCTTTCGGAATATTACCTTCCACTTTGGTCGATTTCCTCACCATTTAAAAGTTATTTGCAAAAACGTCAAGTAACCTCCAAATTTCTAGTGGTAAAAAAAGTTGGAGATTACTTTTTAACTTTGTACAATTAAATCTACAGTTCTGCTGGATCGATTTTGTTAAATGATGTGTCTTTGGAAGGCATAAACTCTTTGAATTGCTTTTTCGTTTGATGTGTATTTTATAGCGGTAAGTTTAATCGTATAAAAATTATAAAGCATTAAAAATGGGTCCATCATTTAGAATAACCCTGTATATTACCTACTGTAAGCTAATGCTGATCTGTTGAGCTTTAGAGCTATTTAGGCAGCACTCACTCATCCAATCCAGTCTAACATCAATAATGTCAATAAGTCTTATATCGTTACTAGAGGCTTAATTTGGTTCTTGCGTTGGTGTGAGTTAGTGAACCCATTACGTATGTCATGTCGTCTATTAGGACTACCCACGCTCGGACAGGCCTCTGCATCACTAATTGCTTATTTGGAAAACGTCCGTTGGAAAAAGGGAAAACTATGCTTACTATGTTGACCACCTTTGATAACCGGCTTGTTTCAACTATGATTTTCATAAAGTCTGATTTGGATAATTTTGAGTCCTCAATAAAAACCGGCTCTAGAATTTACCATGAAAGAAGAATTCATCTTACTGTATTTAGAGGAAATAGGACTTAACATCGTTACATTTAAAGCTGAAGACGGTTAAATTGTGTTTTCTGTTTTACAAAATACTGTATTTAGATTTGTTTATAATCTTGCATTATTGCTGGATTTCCTGCTAAAATATATGGTTTAAAATAACTACTCGTCTTTCTCTTATCCTCCCCATATATTATTTACCTGCAAGAATTTTCTTCCCATTTCTTTCGCTTCCGTTCGCGTCTTTTAGTTCTGAAAATTATATTCATGAACCCACTTGAAAGAGTTAAGTATAATGACGTAAACATTGTTTTATCATCAAAGACAGATAATATTTATTTCTACTGAAGATTTTTACTATCAGTCTTAAGGCAAAATTTCATAATTTCAAAGAGATTTAAAATAAAAAAATATGTATACTCGTACATGAGATCGCTCCCATTAAATTATAAAAAAAGTTTTAGTATAATTTGACACATTTGTTTATTGTTGGTAGACCGTTGGTTGGAGTAATAAAAAATTTAAGTCGTAATGTTACTAACCTTGGGTGCAAAACTGCACTAAATCAATCCCGTACTGATGGTAGACAATTTTATTTTTGCAACAATTCGCTGTTATATCTGTGCCGGAGTCAAAGTTTTTTACTTTTTGTTTTTACCCTCAAGGAAAGGTTACTGAACGCAGTGGGGCGAGAGATGGCCAGGGTCATATTAGTGTTTTCCCTCCTTTATGTAATTTACATATTAATAAGGGTTAAAGTCCTGCATTGTTATGACATGTTTACTACAACTAGTCACTGTGTCATATTGTTGCATAACAGATCCAATAACCATGTTGTCAGATGTTGGCCATATTTTCTTTATTAGTTTGTTCCATTGCAAATTATCAGTTACTCAAAAACACTACATTATACCGGGTGTTTCAAAATGACTCACCCGGTTTTAACGCTTTATAACTTTTATACTATTAAACTTACCGCTATAAAATACACATCAAATGAAAAAGCAACTCAAAGAGTTTATGCCTACCAAAGACACATTATTTAGTAAAATCGATCCAGCAGAACTGTAGATTTAATTGTACAAAGTTAAAAAGTAATCTCCAACTTTTTTTAACACTAGAAATTTGGAGGTTACTTGACGTTTTTGCAAATAACTTTTAAATAGTGAGGAAATCGACCAAAGTGGAAGGTAATATTCCGAAAGAGAATAAAATTTCCTACAATCTACAATTATGCATTTCTTTAAAATACTTAATAAATGTAGCCTAAATTTGCCTTAAAATAAAAAAGTGTGAAATTTAATGTTTGCTATGTCTATTGTCCACATTGAAGACAGGAATTTTCAATTTTTTTTCATTTTTAAGCAATTTTTGGTACCTTTCTTGAGTATTTTCAAAAAATGCATAATAGTAGATTGTAGGAAATTTTATTCTCTTTCGGAATATTACCTTCCACTTTGGTCGATTTCCTCACCATTTAAAAGTTATTTGCAAAAACGTCAAGTAACCTCCAAATTTCTAGTGTTAAAAAAAGTTGGAGATTACTTTTTAACTTTGTACAATTAAATCTACAGTTCTGCTGGATCGATTTTATTAAATAATGTGTCTTCGGTAGGCATAAACTCTTTGAGTTGCTTTTTCGTTTGATGCGTATTTTATAGCGGTAAGTTTAATAGTATAAAAGTTATAAAGCGTTGAAACCGGGTGAGTCATTTTGAAACACCCCGTATTATTGTAAATATTAAAATCTTCAATATAAGGTTTATTACAAAATGTCAAAAAATTATCTATTCCTCAAATTATATTTAATTTTTACAAAGTTTTAAAAAAATATACCAGAATAGCTGGCATATTACACCTGGGTACCGATAAGCATGCTAACTTATTGATAGTCTATACAATTAAATTGAAGTTGTGTTATATAATGAAACAGCTGATTCGCTAGGCCCCTAAAAGTGATTGCTTTGATACTAAGGTTGTCTCGTACTAGTGAGATAAAACTATAGTTTAGAAAATTATAGCTTTTGGAAGAGTACATTTATAATGTATTGATAGGATTAGTGTCATAAGAAAATACCTATCAAGACCGCATTAAATGTATACTTTCTACTCGTTCGTAGCAAATTAAAGTCATCCACCAAGTTATTTATTACTGTATACTAATCAATAGGTGTTTTGGATTCTAGGCTATGTTTTCTAAAAAGGGACTAGGTTTACAAAATTAAAATGTTGGACTATCAAACGAACTGTTCATCGTTTAACAAAACTGTCTTTGTAACACTTTTTTATAACGTGTAGTTCTCTTTGCTTTATGAAAAACTAGTTTTGGTTGATTATAAAGTATTTATAATCAAGTATTATTTACACAAAACTTTCAATTTTTTTTTAATACTTTTTCGTCATACTGCAGAAAAAACAGCCGTTTTAATTCATGCGTTGCGAGTCTAAAAAAGCTCTTTTATTCCATAGGGTGTAAATCGTTTTTTGTGGAATTAGTGTGCGAAGTGAGACTTTGCACTCGCGCTGCACATTATATTTTTCCAACAGTTACAATAAATTATATAAATAATTAGTCTTTCAAACACCACACGACACTTTATTAGGTTAGCTTAAATCCAAGCGTTGAACGAAATGGGAAACGCTGCACAAGCTGATCGTAGTCGTAGTATCTTAGAGTGTTGTCAACTTATTTTCAAGCGTACACGTATTTCGTGTCTAATAAAAGCACTCGGATTTGTGTTGTTTGGTTGGAATACTGGAGAGCGGAAAAAATGAGTGCGGCAAAAGGTTAGAGTTCGACAAAAGTGAGTAAATACAGCAATTAGCTACTTGGCGTACTATAATCGTTATAAACGTTTAAAAACGTAATAAAAAAACATTTTTACTTTTAAATTATTTTCAACCCTAGCTCATTTTCGAACTTGTGTTCGTGCCAAAAAGAGTCACTTAACGCTAGTGATGAAATATACTATTAGGTGTCAAAGACTTATCCACATTCTGATTGTTATTAATTGACAAAACAATGACGAAACACTTCAAATGTTTAAACATATGTTGCATACCAATTCCTCACCAAATGTAAACAATATAGAATTTTTTTAACTGTTTATTAAAACGTGTATATAAATTTGTAGTCTTACCTGTATTGAAAATACACGCTAACTTATAACAAAATTAATAATTGGAATCTGTTATCCATATAACACAAAATCATTTATGTTTTAAGCATTTGTAAAATGGTTTTCAAGGAGTGTAGTAATTAAAACACTATGACGTGTTGAAGTCACTGACTCTTCTTAGAATGTTAAATAGATTCCAACAGAGTCATTCCTTCTTGGAAGGCATCGCTGTGTAGTTGGTAAACAAAGCTACCACTGCTAATTACTCACTACGACGAAACAATCTTAGTGGATTTGCGAGATGTTTTAAGAATATAATAAACAATATTTAAAATGCTTATTAAAAGGCATAAAATGAATTAAATAAATTTAAGAAATCTTAGTTAAATTGATTAAGTAAAACACTCACTATTTGGACTTTACAACAAATAAGTATCGTTAAAGTATGTTCATTGGTAATGATCATACTATAAAATGACTATAAAAATACTATAAAACGTATATTATTAAATATTTTAGATATAAAACATTTTAAAGTCAGAAATCGTATCCTATAGGATATGATTTCCGATTAGTCACTCAAATAAAAGAAAATTGCACATGTGGAGGTATTTCCATTATTAGAAATGATTTACTCAATTTTTGTTGTAACGCAATAAATATTGTGATTGATTTTTGTATAATGCTATGTATGTTTCCTTACTATACATCCATACGATCCATACTATACGATTTCTTCTTAGTTACACTAGTATAATAATGGAAAAAAATCCTTGCTCCTCTCCTTTCTAAGGGTTGGAAATATAGTGTAAAAAGATGCAAAACAGATGTTTTATTCAGTCGCAATTAAACTCACCATAGCAAAATATGTACCGTACAGTTTTATATTTGTTTGAGCATGGATGAAAAACAAACAAAAAAATAATCTAAAAGTTAACAGGATATTAAGTGATTTACCTGGGTTTCCGGCACTTGTCTGGTTGAGAACCTTTTCAGAAAGGAATCCTCTCGTTTTAGGGGAGGTTTTGATTTTTGGATTGTCGAGGATATCGCCCCAGAGAGCTGCACGGTCGTCCTCAATTTCATCCATCTTTGGTTGCTTTTGCTCCTGCAAAAAACATTTTGTAAAAGAAATTGCAAAAAATCTTTTCATAAATACACGTAACGTTTACAAAAAGTACCATGACAGTTAAACAATTATTTATGCTAAATATTATGAACTTATTATAATAATTTTGAATTCATAAATGTATTCAAGTTTTGTTTTATTATGGTATGATACAAATATTTTTTCAGGTTTGGAGATCTACACAACTTAGAATGTCTTTGAAATAGAAAATTTAAACCCGGGTTGAAACTTTTCTTAACGGCAATGAATAACCGTAAACCTATCACATTTTCAAATGGTAATTTTTGTGTGCCGATCCTTGCTATTGTGAGATGGAGGTTGCTAATTTTCCTCGGTTTTCTTGCTAAAGACCCTGTTAGTATGGGGCTATTTAATCACGAGTTCCATCTAAATTGTTCAAGTTCATAAGGCTTGAAATGTTTGATATAATGATTTTAAATTTGTACTGAGTTTTGTAGATACTAGTTTAGTTTACAAAATTTTGAAAAGGCATGAGATTGTAGCTCTTAAACATTCAACAATTATGTATTGTACATGCTGGGAGAGGCAAAAAATGAAATATTATGATTGAAAATAAAACCATTGTGTAGGCTATTTACTTTCTCTCTAACAATTTACTGCTGATTTACTATAATAAATAATTGTTAACGTGTTTTCGAACGCAGACTAAACGTTTCTGTTCGTTGTTTGGAATTGCTCACCACCTAAAACTTGCTTAGGATATTCGGGATCTAAAACGTCAAATTAGGGTTAAAACTGGATTTTTCGTAGAGATGCAGCATTAAAATCAACTCACTCTTTATTTTGACCAAAAAGGTACAGTGCTAGATGAAGGTTTTAGCTGTTGATCAACTCATTATATGTAATGGATATCAGGAGTTTACAAATTGAAATATGTATTAACACCAAACAATATCTAAGTGTTTACGATGAAAAGTCTCTAAAGGCCATTAATCGATTTACTGTGTGAAGTTATGACAAATGTTGTGTTTCGTTGTGTAATATAAACACCAAACTCATAAAAATCCAGTTGAAAACCATGGTATTGACAAATTGGAGTAGGTACCAATGATATGCCAATATTTATTAAAGATTTATTTTGATATATGTGCACAGTGGGTTACTTGACTGATACTGAAAATTTGTTTGATGGCTGTCTTTCGCAGCAGCCAAAGCTCTACATTAATGCGATGCATGTCAACTCATATATTATAATATGTTTGTTTATCGACTTTATGAGTACATTTACATAATCTCATAGAAAATGATCCTTTAGCGTAAGATTATTTTCCGCTGAGTGTTGTTCTAGGGTTGTTTAAAAAAATGATGTGGTAATAGAATGTAAAAAAAAATTAACACTACATAGCTCTCACTATTTCTAAAAATTTATTCCCAGTTAATGCCATTTAACCACAAAAATCATACGACTCAGTAGTTAAGGTTCGGGTTGTATCTATATGTGGTCATTGTATTTTATACATTGGGGAAATTCATAATGAAAGAACCCATACGGAAACCATGTAAGACTCAAGATCCGATAAACCTTCAAAGGGGTAGGGAAAACCAGGCTGGAACCCAGATGACTTTAAGCCTGAACCATTCGCCTTGCCCCCAAAGAACTTCAGTAGTTCCTTCGATAAACCTATAGGCCATCCAAATATCCCTAGTCTTCTGTTAAACAAGTCACTAGATAAACGTGGTCACTATCTAATCATTCTCCTTTCGAAGCATTATTTGCATAACAGTATCTACAACAGAATCCCACTTCAGGGGCGAACGTTTACCTTCTCTGTGATTTATATCATCTTCCGCTTTGGCAGAGCAAACACCCAAATGACTCTACCATACCCATCAGATGGTTATGAGCAGCCCTAGTGCTGGATTAGTGATTGAAATTTGTACTTCCGAGTTGCGCTTTATTCGAGCCTCTCATGGCACTTATAAGACTAAATTAATTCTTAAATACTAATAACATGAAACATTCAATCAAAAAAGGTCAACCTTGGATTTTTTATAGTTTTTAATTGTTTTGCTTGGTTAACTAAATTACACAAGAAAGAAATAACATTGATTAAAATAATTACTTTTTAGTTATTTTCTAGGTTCGTTTATGATAGCTTTATATAGGTTAATATCGTTACAGCTAGTTTTTATGATATCACTGTTAGTGTATCCTCCAGAATTCTTGATATGCTGGAGAAAGAAGTGCTAAATACTAACGAAAAGCATCTATCTAGATGAACTAAATTCCGTGCGTTTCAATTTTTTTACATTTGCGTCTATTGATTTTTCTCATTCCACTACTAACCTTTTTGGTATCCGAGCAGTTTTCGGTCTGGGGCTGTATATGGATCAAAGTCTCCTAAGGAAAATAGAAAAGTTGAGTAGGTTCACTGGTTTACAACTTTAACAACGGTACATGCAGTGATTTTAACATTAAACTTACTACATTCGTTCCTCGTTTATGTTGGTATTACGTTGAGTCAGTTGTTAATATAAGACCATATTAAACATAGAACAATAATTAACAGAATATACTTCCTGGAGAAGCAGTTTTCCGAAAATGAGTGACTATTAATCTTCTTCCAAATGAGACATATTCTTTTTAAATAACCACAGACTAACCACCAACAAAAGTAGGCTTATCATCCCATTGACAATTTTGAAGCTCGTTTTTCGTGTCTAGTTCATGTCCGGTGACAAGGATCGCTAGTATCGACGAAACTTGGTTTCTTCTATTTCAGGGTTATAACTAGGGTACGAGTTATTGTTTGTGATTAGATGGTTTTATTTGGTTAAACGATAATTACTGAAATAACAATAAAGAAATTGTAAACAAAACACGATCTCTACAGTGCACCGGACGGAACTAAAACCAAATTGGCTTTAACTGATCCATAAGGATGAGAAATCTACTAAGGAAGTATGTTTTTTCTACGACATAACCCACCAAAAATATTATCTTTATTAGGGATATATTAATCATATGTTTAGCTTATTACATAGACTTGTCAATTTATTAGCAAATACCTTTTTGAAATATGTAGCACTCATTTTTGGAATACTTTTTGTAGAAATATTTTTCATTTTTAGGCCATTGTGCGTAAAAATCATCAATGGTGTTTAAAATCAGACGAAATATAACAATCAAGTATTTATATTAAATGTAATGGTAGTATAATTTAGAAATTTGAAAACAAGCATTGAAAGTAAAATTAGTTTGAACTTTTATATCATGTTAAAACACAAATAAGAATCAACCATATTTGCCTCTTTTATTAGATGTTTCAAGTAAATCATGCCACAATTAAAGATTACACCAAATACTTTTTTTACCACGTGCAGGGCTACAAAAAAAAGATTATATTTTATTTGACAGCAAAGACATTTTAACTCAACCTTAAACGATTCCTGAAGTAGCCTAGCATTGCTAGAAGCAACAATATAATTTTATTTCGTAAAAGCCAAAAAAACAATACTTATAATTACAATTTACAAAAGCAGCCTAAATCTTTAAGAAGTAACGATGTGTTTGGCTGAAATGTTAGTCTCGTTATCATAATAATGTAATCTGCTGATGCCGTCATCATACTTTCACCCTATTCCGTTTTTTAAGCAATTTCACATAAACAACATCAAATACGCAGTATCTTATAAGTGGACTAAGCAAAAATAGCCTAAGCTTTATAAGATTCGGAATTTTTAAAAGCATCATAAAGTAATGCATAATTTTAATATAAAGTCAGTCATTTAAGTAACATATTACTACAACAGTAAACACGTATATACATACAGACGTTAAAAACAGTTGGGTAACCATTTTGTAATATGTTTGAGCTAAAAGAAAACTTACAAAAACAATAGTTTAACAATCGTATCTTAAAAACCGTAGGTATACCAATTAACCTAAATAGAATTCTTTTTAGAAATACAAATGTAGCTTTCAATATTTGACGTAAACCACTTTTATCATCCTATTTAAATTCAATTCTGTAGTATATATAGCATAGTTTTTAGTATTATACGCTAATCACTAATATAATTTAAAAAATAAAATTTAAAATAAAGTTTTTTTAATATCAAACTAATAATATTTTCTGCTAAATAGGTACACTAGTAGTTAATTGAAATGATATAAATTGATTGAATTTAACTTGTAACTATGGTAATTTACAATGGCAAATAACATTTTATATATTTAGAATTTCTACTATGCAATGTTATTTTAATACACAATGCTGCGTTTATCGTAAAGATAATATATTACAAACGTTATTAGATTTGAATACTTAGAAACGTTTGTTTTCACTTTGTTATTACTGAAAGATAAATATTAACTTGCTTTGACAGCTCAGTTTAAACTCGGTAAATAAAAAGGATTTGTCTTCTCGTAGCTAAGAACGACGACTTTGCACAGGAGATTTCACTGAGCAAATCATTAATCTTAGTTAAGAAGAGTGGACACTGGATCTCCATCTGATTAGCATTTTGTATTTTGCCGGAAATCATCACAAAATCATTATACATTATCAAACAAACAACATTTGTGAATTATGACTATCCTTGAATACTCTATGAAGGATATTCGACCACTTAAAAAATTAAAATGGTTTGTGATTTTTCAAGTGCATTTTTTCTAACAAAAAATTGTGTAAACTGTCAAGAATTTAGAAAAACAGGGAATTTAGGCTAAGAGAATTTTAACTTAATACTCTTTGTGCTAAAGCTATGCATGTAGCACCCATTTTAATTATCAGGTCATATTAATGAATCCCGAATGTATTAAAGAGGAAAATCTCGTTGTGATGAATTATGAAGGCTAAATAGATCGTGGGATTTAATTAAATTCACCCCCACCCCTTAAACTATTCAACTGTAGGCTCAATATTCATCTTTGTTTAATAAATCACAATCAAAAATATTAAAACAATATACATAATGTCAAAAGACATATAGATAAGGTTTTTGTTTTACAAATA